GGAGGCAGGGAGAGGGAAGAGGGAAAAGAAGGAATTGGTAAAGGGACATGAAAATCAACTACACTGTATATTGATAAATTAAAAAATAAAAAAATTAAAGAAAGAAAGAAAGGATGTTTGTCCAGGATCATGTGACAGATAAGCAGTAGAATAAATAAAGCTTTTATAGGAAGGCATCTCTTGGATGTTTTGTGGGGTTCTTGTAAACAGGCAAATCTGTCATGTAGTTGATTCATTCATCTCCTTTGACTCTGCTAACAATTTTTTTCCTGGCCTCAGCTCTTGGACAATCCCAAATTCCGGGTCATCACCAAGATTAAAACCATTGGCAGCACCTATATGGCCGCTTCAGGAGTCACCCCCGATGTCAACACCAATGGCTTTACCAGCTCCAACAAGGTAGCTAGCCATCTCAATGGCTAGAGAGAGATGTAGCTCTGCCCCAAGGAAGTGAGAAGTTACAAGACTAAAAGGAGAAGTTATTCAATGTACTGTTGTGCAAAGAGGTCACAAACACACACCACAGCACCATGCCATGCAGATATAAAATAGTGTTTTACAGAGAAAGTTTAATGAGTAGAAATAGTGGAACACACACAAACCTCATTACTGTTCCACAACTCAGGCCTAAGATGATTTATGTGCACTGTGGCCATGCCACCTTAAAGCTCTTTATTTCATAAGAACTGGGGAGCAGCAGTGATCTAAGATGAAAACCTAAAGGGAAGCCTTGGAACTCACTGGCTATCAACCTGTTCTTTTGTTAAGCAAATTCAGACCTGTGGAGCCAGCTTGGTTTAGCTACCAGGAGAGGATATGAGCTGTGGGGTTGTATTAGTTCGTTTCTGTGTTGCTATAAAAGAATACCTGGAACTGGGTAATTTATGAAGAACAGAGATTTGGCTCACGATTCTGGGACTGCTGCATCTGGCACGGGCCTCAGGCTGCTTCTACTCATGGCGGAAAGTGGCAGGCAGCCAGTGAGAGGAAGCAAGTGGAGGGGGAGGTGCCAGGGACTTTTTAAACCACCACCTCTCATGGGAATTAATAGAGCGAGAACTCACTCACTACCCCCAGCCCCAGGAGAGCATTAATTCATTCATCTGCCCCCATGACTCAAACAGCTCCCAGCACTGCCACACTGGAGATCAGATTTCCACCTGAGTTTTGGGGGGACAACACATTCAAATTCTATCAGGGTCCCTGGTCCAAAGCTGTTCTTAAAACATGATCATCCTGTTTGCCTTTACAACTGTCCTTTGATGTCAGTACTACTGCCATCTCCATTTTATGGATGAGGTTAAAGGTGGGTCATCACCCTCAAGTGCTTATAATCGAGTTGAGGGATCTAAGTAAGGACAGCTCTGCAAAGCCTAAAGACCAGGTTCAGACAAGGTGGTGAGATCCACCTCATGATCGGGGCACTTGGCAGGCAGGTAGCAGCTAAACTGGGTCTGTTGTTCCTACCACCACTGCCCAGTCTTTGCCCTAGACTTGGTAGAGGGACCCATGTGAACTTTGTCACAGTAACAAGTCAGAACTAGAGAGTTGCAGACTCCTTTGAGGGAGGAAGGGAATAAGGCCTTTAACTGCCAGGGGCTTCACCTGTAGAATGCTGCTAGGGAAGGAAGCAGGTGAGCAGGCTGTCAAGGCTCCAGGCCTGGACTGGCTCCTGATGCTTCACTGCTGCTCTCTGAAACAGGAGGAAAAGTCCGAGAAAGAGCGCTGGCAACACCTGGCTGACCTGGCCGACTTTGCACTAGCCATGAAGGATACGCTTACCAACATCAACAACCAGTCCTTCAACAACTTCATGCTGCGCATAGGTAAGGGTTCTAGTCTTGCCTCCTCTTGGCCCACTGCCTTCTGATGCAGGGACTCAGCACTTCAGCAGGGAGGACAAGGCTTAGGGAGAGTGAGGCGTTTAGGTTGCGACATTCACACACTCATAGCTAGAAGGGACCTGAAGGACTTTTAGTTCGGTCTCTTCTAGACGATCAAACCGAACATAAGACTGATGACATGGTCAAGTGATGACTGTCCCTCCTATTTATAATAACCTAGCCTTTCTTCTGAAGCTGGCCAGGAGTTAGCGTGCTGTCTACATTCCCAAGGGGGTTTCTGTGTCTGCTGAGGGCTTTGCTCCTCTCAGAGCAGCCCGCCCTTTGAAAGGGATTAACGTCACCCACTATCACCTAGTGGAGGGTGGGGCTTACTCCTAGGTGAGGCTGCAGGAGACATGAAGTGCCAGGTGTGTGTTAGAAGCTGTCCACTATCGTACTGAGTAAATCAATTAGCACATTGGGAGGAGCTGACATTTGCCAAGCACAAGGTAAGGACAGGATAAATTGAGACATGATTTCTGCCCTTCAGTAGTTTAGAGAGACAGGCTCAATGAGGAATATGACGTTATGTAATTAGCTTTGTGATAGGGGTCAGGTGAAAAATCTTGTAAAAGTTTGGCTGTGCCAAAATGTGTATCTACCTCAGGCATGAACAAAGGAGGGGTTTTGGCTGGGGTCATTGGTGCACGGAAACCACACTATGACATCTGGGGCAATACGGTCAACGTAGCCAGCAGGATGGAGTCCACAGGAGTCATGGGCAACATTCAGGTATGTTCAGCAACAGAACAGAGCACATGCGCAGATTCAGGGAATGGAAACAAAATCAACAGCGCGTTCTTTGCCATGCCTCCTCCCTGGCTCAGCCGTGATGCCAGCAGTGCTGAGAGGTGAAGGGCATGAATGGGAAGTGAGGCCTCTACAGCTAGCCTCAATAGANGGTGGGGCTTACTCCTAGGTGAGGCTGCAGGAGACATGAAGTGCCAGGTGTGTGTTAGAAGCTGTCCACTATCGTACTGAGTAAATCAATTAGCACATTGGGAGGAGCTGACATTTGCCAAGCACAAGGTAAGGACAGGATAAATTGAGACATGATTTCTGCCCTTCAGTAGTTTAGAGAGACAGGCTCAATGAGGAATATGACGTTATGTAATTAGCTTTGTGATAGGGGTCAGGTGAAAAATCTTGTAAAAGTTTGGCTGTGCCAAAATGTGTATCTACCTCAGGCATGAACAAAGGAGGGGTTTTGGCTGGGGTCATTGGTGCACGGAAACCACACTATGACATCTGGGGCAATACGGTCAACGTAGCCAGCAGGATGGAGTCCACAGGAGTCATGGGCAACATTCAGGTATGTTCAGCAACAGAGCAGAGCACATGCGCAGATTCAGGGAATGGGAACAAAATCAACAGCGCGTTCTTTGCCATGCCTCCTCCCTGGCTCAGCCGTGATGCCAGCAGTGCTGAGAGGTGAAGGGCATGAATGGGAAGTGAGGCCTCTACAGCTAGCCTCAATAGAAGGGGGAAAGGGCTTCAACCCATTTGCCATGTTTAGATTTAAGTTCCGGGTGAGAATAGACTGCCTCTTGGTATGCACTTTCTGACACCTTGAGCCCACAGCAGCACCCCCTGGAGTGATCCTGACCTGTATCAGCTGGGTCTGGCAGACAAGCTCCACAGAACAGGCAAAGGGGCAGAAGAGCAGAGAGTCAAAGTTCCCAAACAGTGCTGCAGCCACACAGGTGACCTGCAGCTGTCCTCCTAGGAGGGAGATTGGGAGAGCAGAGGGCTCCAGACAAACCACCCTGAACTCTGCTCTCCCCGCCATGCCCACTGGGGGGTGAAATGCTAGGGGTCGGCCCTGAGAGGTTTGAGAAGAGTGCAAAGGCCGGTGTTGTCTGGGACCTGTGGCCCATGCAAGTGTTAGCACCGTCTGGGTCAGTTCTCAGCCCCAGCCACCCAAAGACCCTACACCCACCCTCGGTCTAGGCTCCCTCTAATCCTAAACTCTTCTCCCTGCACAGGTGGTGGAAGAAACACAAGTCATCCTTCGAGAGTATGGCTTCCGCTTTGTGAGGCGAGGTCCCATCTTTGTGAAAGGGAAGGGGGAGCTGCTGACCTTTTTCTTGAAGGGGCGTGATAAGCTAGCTGCCTTCCCTAACGGCTCCTCTGTGACACTGCCCCATCAGGTGGTAGACAACTCCTGAATGGCTTCTAGCCCCGCAACAGTACAAATGGAAAGGGAGAATTTATTTTCTGGAATCAAAGAAAGGGCTTGGGAAAGGACAAATCACCAAGTCCCAACTTTTCCAAATTATTGAAGTGTACACACACATAGACTTTAGGTTTAAAAATCTCCTCGAGCCTTCATTTGTTTGTGGGTATGTGAGCTCTGAGGGTGGCCATACTATTCAGTGTGCCTGTAGCTTCCCCAGAGTAGGGGTCTTAGGTGTAGTACTGGAACAATCCTTCCAGAGCCCTGGCTCCCACCTGGCCCTTCTGCCAGAGAGGCCATGGCCACTGTGAGCAGGAGTACAGCAGAGGTAGAAAGCAGCTGCCTTTGCTGTGGGGCTGGGAGCACAGGCGGGGAAGCTCTGCTGAGGTAAGGGCTTGACCAAGCAGGACATTGTACTGGCTAACACTCCGCGCCCAGCTGGAACTCGAAAGCAGTGCTTTTCACTCTGAAGAGAACTAGAGCGGCGGGGAAGCTCTGCTGAGGTAAGGGCTTGACCAAGCAGGACATTGTACTGGCTAACACTCTGCGCCCAGCTGGAACTCGAAAGCAGTGCTTTTGACTCTGAAGAGAACTAGAGTTGCAGACGTGGTTGTCTCCATACGGTCTGAGGTAAAATGGCCCTCATCCTGATGTTCCTGATAATCTTGAAAGGTTCTTCTGGAACCCGTCACCTTAGTCATGAGAGCAGAAAGTGCAATATTTCCTTTTACCTGGTGGGGGGAGGGGGATTTATTTCTGAAAGAAAAATATATAAGCAGATCTTCTACATTTATATTTTTAACCTTCTGTTAAAAGACACTTTCCGATATTGCCTTGCCTTTTGAGCTCTTGCTACAGTCACCTTTGCTACTGCTTTAAAGGAGAATTTACAGGTATTGATAAAGAACAAGACTGTTTTATTAAAAGCTTTATTCAACTTGAATGTGATCATTGTGGAGATCTATTAATACTTCTTGTCTGAGAAGTGCTGAATGCTTTGCTAACTCATGCTCATGTATGGTCCCCACCACATGTCTGGAAGGCAAGAGCTTAAACTAAGACCTCTCTTATTCTTAAGCTGTTTTCTTTCAAAGGGTGGTCCAAGCTGGCTTTCCCATCCCCTGTGCTCTTCCTAGAGTTCACTGGAGCTCCCCCCACACATGGAGGTTACTTCATGATCATGAGGTCTGGGAAGTGATCATTTCAGAGTGAAGTCTGAATGCAGCTGTGGGTGTTGGGCAGTAATGGTAGTAATGAGTCCTATCTGTGCCTGGGCAGAGGAGGAACAGGAATTGAAATGGGAGAACGTGGCCAGCCAGACACAAGTTTTCACACCTGTGAACTAGCCCTACACATACCTCCACGAGACAAGAAAGAAGTGCCAGCAGATCAGAGGCCCAGGGTTACAGGGAGAAACGGTACCCTAAATGGACTAAGAGACGGGGAAGATTGTGCAGCCACAGCCTAGAGCCTGAAGGAGAGGGAAGACACAAAGGGGGGAGGGTCTGCTTCCCTCTGCAACAACGACTGAGTTGATGGGCAGATTTCCAAGCATGCTTTTTCACAGCTAAGACATTCAGCACTCTATAAAAATGTCTCAAGAAACAAAATATTAGATACATAGAACCCTGATTATTTTACCTGTAGTACTTTTTCACATCATATTCTTTATAAAGTACTGGCCTAGAATACACTACTCCAAACCCAAGATTAAATACACTTCCTATCTTAACTATATGATCTACCTCATCTATCATGAACCTGGAGTATTCTAAGAACTTCCTTTCCAAAAGTCTCAGAAAGGAAAATGAAGCAGAATTACTTTAACCTCCCATAAAAGCTAGAAATACTCTTTAGTGAGCAATACACCCTTCCCTTTTTCACAAAATGTTTTCTATTGCCCCACAAACCATTCTGAGTTTCAGCTAAAATGTATGATCAAATCAATCATACCTCAAGAGAACAGATGATCTTAAGCATTATAACAAATGACCAGACAATCATGGGAACTGTCCAACACCACCAAGGTCTACGGACTCAAACTTGCTCCTTAAGCTGATGAAGAACTAAGTGTCCGTTCTCACCACAAGGATGATCCCCAGGCAAGGAATCTGAGCCTTTCAACAGTTTTCAGTCCCAGGACCCTGCTTGGGACTGTGTACAGTACTTGTTTACTCACTTCTGACATGTTTCCAATGAAAATAATATTTTAGGGGATCAGGCTCATATCCAGCTTCTCTCTTTTTCTTGCAAATGAAGCAAACACTTGATGTAAGGGCTTCATACAGAAAAGGGTTTCATGGGATGCTCGCTGTTCTTCCCACAAAGTGGATAATGCTTCCGTCCCTAAAAAAAAGATTCCATCAATCTCATTTAGTACAAATGTGGGGCTCAGAACCTGGATCACTGATATTCTGGACCCATATAACTATTTTTTTGGTCTGGGGCTGAGAGAGGCTGCCCTTTATTAGACCAAGGTAGTTTTGAAACTAGGACTTAAAACAAACTCTGCCTGGAAAAATCTAAAACCTGTGCTGTGAAACCCATGGCAGCTTCAAAATTTCTACCTCCTAGGGGGCTGGCCCGGTGGCGCACTGCTATAGTGCGCCGCTTGGGAAGCGCGGTGGCGCTCCTGCCGAGGGTTCGGATCCCACATACAGACCGGCCGCTCACTGGCTGAGCGAGGGGCGGGGGCAACACCGAGGGTTGCAATCCCATGGCCGGTCCCAGTCCAGTACGGGTGCGACACTGAGGGTTGCGATCCGTTGCCGGTCACGAAAAAAGACAAAAAGGAAAAAAAAAAAATTTCTACCTCCTAAAAACATTTTACCCAAATTTTCATTATTGCCTATGTCACAGTATTATGGTACATTTAATGGAAATGGGCTCACACAAAAAAATGTCTGTTTCAGCCAGCTCTAAAAATTTCCCATTTAGAGAATATTCTCTAGAGAGTTAAGTCTATACTGACTTATCATGTTTAGTAGGCTTCATTGTGAAATGAGTCTTGTGGCTCCATTCCCCATAAATGACCCTATGACTCAGCCTCATTAGCTGTCTTTCTTCAAAAGAGGTTTGCAATGAAAATAAATCACAAGCTGAAAGAACACTGGCAGAGCTGAGTGGGCAAGGCAGGAGGGAAAACCAGGATAATTAAGGTGACTGTTTACAAAGAAGAAAGGAAAATTGGTAGGAACAAAGAAAATATTCTTGGGCCGGCCCAGTGGCGCACTGCTACAGTGCCCCGCTTGGGAGTGCGGTGGCGCTCCCGCCGAG